GGAGAGGACTGCGACCTGAACGCAGCGCCTTAGACCACTCGGCCAGAATGACATGGAATCGCTAATTTTCTGCACATTTCTCGGTGGGGCCCCCAATCAAACTAATCTCTAAGTGGGAAAGTTGTTCTGAAACCATAATAGAGCTCATTACCGAGTGTTCCGATAAAGTTGTCGGTCACTTCAGCAACGTAATAGCAATTCGTCTACTGAAATGAACTTGACACCAAGAAAAAGCTGTGAAAAAAGTTCAAAGACGCCCTCAGGCGCCCTCAGGCGCCCCAGAAGGTTGAAATGATAATGAGGGGCGGCAGGGGTGTGAGAGAGGGTAAAACTGATGTCATCCGCAGGATTCGAACCTGCGCCCTCCGGAGAGGACTGCGACCTGAACGCAGCGCCTTAGACCACTCGGCCAGAATGACATGGAATCGCTAATTTTCTGCACATTTCTCGGTGGGGCCCCCAATCAAACTAATCTCTAAGTGGGAAAGTTGTTCTGAAACCATAATAGAGCTCATTACCGAGTGTTTTGATAAAGTTGTCGGTCACTCCAGCAACGTAATAGCCATTCGTCTATTGAAATGAACTTGACACCTAGAAAAAGCTGTGAAAAAAGTTCAAAGATGTCCTCCGGCGCCCCAGAAGGTTGAAATGATAATGAGGGGCAGCAGGGGTGTGGGAGAGGGTAAAACTGATGTCATCCGCAGGATTCGAACCTGCGCCCTCCGGAGAGGACTGCGACCTGAACGCAGCGCCTTAGACCACTCGGCCAGAATGACATGATATCGCTAATTTTCTGCGCATTTCTCGGTGGGGCCCCAAATCAAACTGATCTCTAAGTGAAAAAGTTGTTTCGAAACTATAACAGAGCTCATTACCGAGTGTTCCGATAATGAAAAAGTTCACCAAATCGCACTCTTTCAGTTCAGAAAAAGATCCTATAATTGAATTTCAGATGGATTGCCTACGAGCGTCGTCTGGAGTCATCATATTATTTATTAACTCGGCGAGATGTTCTGTTACAAGACCTGAACAATTTCGGTTCGAGTCGCGCTGGGAGTCTCATGACATCCATGCTGAGCATCAAGGTGTTCATCGCACATAAACTCGTTTAATTTTCTTTATTAGTCGACGCAATCAGTCAACATGGATGTCGCCCCCATGCCCGGAACAATGGAGTTCTATACTACGAATATACGCAGAGCTTACAAAAGAAGAAATAACAACAACGATGTATAAGCTGTAATAGGTGTTATGAATAATATCTGTGTCACATTGTAGAAAGTTGATGTAAACACTGATGCATGGAAAGACATCGTTGATTGGCAGTTGGCTAAGTTGGACAATGTGCTTGTGACAGTACGGAAAGTTCAAAAAGATAACTTGAAACTTACAAGAGAAATGAAACGTGAAATCGACTTGGTATTTATTTTGTTGTATACAAAAACTTTTGTGTTGTTCAGTTGATGAGTTGTGGTCACGAGAACTTAAACAAGTTTCATGGTATAATCATCGAACCTGAACTGATTTTCACTGTTCATTCTTATGGACTCCGTAAGAGTCTTAATGTAAGTTACTCACTAGCCATTCAGTTGAACCATCTAAATTTTCAGGACTTAGTACGGAACCCAGATTTAAGACTGGATCGAATGTTCAAAGTGTCCTTCATTGAAGATGTAACGAAAGTAGGCTGTTAACAATTTTTTTCTAGAATCTACAAGTGTTTTGTTCATTCCAGGGATTAAGATTCCTTCATGATAAAAGTAAAATTGGTTATCACGGAAATCTTAAAAGCACAAATTGCATTGTGGATGCTTATTGGCGCGTTAAACTTAGTTCTTTTGGTATGGAAAGAATAAGAGTGGATGAGCCCCTACCCCGCCCCGATGGTTGACAAAAAAAAGTAGTTCACTAAGTTTTGGGAAATCTTCTAGATATGCTTTGGTTCGCTCCTGAGATAATTCGTAGAAACTGTAAAAAAGATGATTTAACAAAAGAAGAACTTGCGATGGCAGACATATACTCTCTCGGTATTATTTTGTATGAAGTCTATGGTAGAGAAGGTCCTTTCGGAGATGACTTACTAGATTCTACAGGTTTATTATTTTAACAAACACATTATTATGCATCATATTTTAACTTTTTCAGAAATTGTGGAACAGTTGAAAAATGGATCTACCGAAAATCAAATACGCCCGGATATAGAAATTATTCGCAAATCCCCATCAGTTCTGATTGAAATGGTGGAAGCGTAAGATATTCTCAGTGAACTGATTCTATATTATGATTTCAGTTGTTGGCAGGAAATTCCCACAGAACGACCAGTTATCCGAAAAATACGAGATCGATTAAAACCTTTATCTAAAGGATTGTAATAACAAAAAAATTTTTGCTTCATCCAAAATATTGTTTTAGGAAAGGAAATATAGCTGATAATATTATGGAGTTGCTTGACCGATATCGTTATAATTTGGAAGACGTCATAAAAGAGAGAACAGATGAGTTAGAAGAAGAGCGACGACGAAATGAACGTCTTCTTCTCCAGCTCTTACCTAGGTAGAAACACTGGAACAACATTTTTAAAATGAATTTTCAAGCTCGGTTGCTGATAGTCTCAAAAACGGACGTCCCGTGGATGCTGAATTTTATGATTGTGTGACCATATACTTTTCGGATATTGTTGGATTTACTGCTTTGAGTAGCAAGAGCACACCGATGCAAGTGATTACTAAAAGCAATGCTAATATACTCAGGTTGTGAATATGCTTAATGATCTTTACACGGACTTTGACAAAATTATCGACCAGTTCGATTGCTATAAAGTTGAAACTATTGGAGATGCTTATATGTATGTCTCGGGACTGCCAACCACTAACGGTATTCACCATGCTGGTGAAGTAGCTTCGGCTAGTTGGGAGCTACTACAGAATATGTCTGTATGTTTTACTAACATAATAATACTAATGAATAGGAGAAAACTTAATGAGGAAACTTTCTAAATTATATATTCAGCTTTTCAAAGTACGACACGCACCAGAAGAACGGTTGAGAATTCGTATTGGATTGCATTCAGGACCTGTCGTAACAGGAGTTGTTGGGGTAAAAATGCCTCGGTATTGTCTTTTTGGAGATACTGTAATAACAGCTAGTAATATGGAAAGCTCAGGAGAAGGTTTGTTCATTTTTATTCTTGTTCTCACCCTCTACTCCAGCTTTGAAAATACAATTATCTGTTGATACATACCGTCTATTAACTAAATGTGGGGGATATGAAATGCAACACCGAGGAGAGATACAACTAGCAGTAACTAAAAACTTTCATAACCTAGTCAATTTCTTTTCAGTCTAAAATCATGATGGAAAGCTATTGGTTACATGCTTATAATCCCGAAACACGAATTGCTAGACTTCAAGCGTCTTCCGAAAAGTTCCCTCAATTCCATGAGCTATTGAAGAAATCAACAATGAAAGCGTAAAGGTTAATATTCTTCAAGACGAAATAAACTGTTGCTTTAACTGAAGTTTTGAAAGAAAAAAATTTATTCAATTATGCCTGATAATCATAAAGAAAGCTTTTGATATTGTGTAGGCGAGCATACTTTCATCGATAGAAGAATCAGTAGTAAATTATAATTATACACGCATAAATAATGCCAGGGATGTATCCAAGAATGGTCAAGAGAATACAGATAAGTACATGAATGGAACATCCTTTCTCAAAAAAAACTCCAAGTGGCTGAAAAATGAATAATAATGAGTTGGTCAATCTAGTCACTGCATGAACTACATCTAGTAGTAGCCGATAGCTAGAGAAAATGAAACAACTTACTGGAAGAAGAACGGCACAGAGGAATTTTGGAAGATCAGAGCACGTCAAAGGCATTGTGAAAGCGCTTCTGAAAAATTAATCTTAGAAAATTATTGGCTGAAACAAACACGATTAAACAAAAAAAAGAAAATTCAACATTTCATTCAGCTTCAATCGATTCTAAACAAAGCCTCACAATTGTTTTTTATGGTGCAAATTAGATAAGAAGGAAATCTTAATTGGCTTGTTTTGTTTTGGTTAACATTTCCAAATATGGAGATTGAGACTCCACGTAATGACGTTATACGGGATGATGAATGAAGACGTTTCAAAATGCAATTCAGTTGAAGGTTTTCGATTAAGTGAAGACAGAGCCGGAGAAAAAAACCAAAGAAATAGTAAGAAAGAGAGAAAGAGAGAAGCTGAAAGGAAACCTCAGAAGAAAAGGAATGAAAAATCTTGAGAGTCGTTGAAAAGGCAGATGTAAAAAGAGAGTACAGATAAAGGAAGAATGAGTCATGAATACACAAAATGGCAAATCTTTCAGGCTTTGAACCCTAATTTGCGAAATTCAACAATAAGAAAGGGAATGGGTTTCACGTTTATTTGGAAGAGAATAAACGTAAATGAAACATACTGAGGAAACCCTTCAGAGAGAAACAGGTGCAGGACCAATACGTAGAGCTCAGGTTGCTACGACACGAAAGGCAAAGATAGCTATTCACATAGAAAGACAAGAAGCGAATGTATGAGATATGAAGAGATGAAAAAAAGAAACGAGAGGAAAGATAGAAAAATAATTTTATTAAGGTAATATAATAACTGAACGAACGGCAAAGTACGTGGCATGAAATGTAAGTAAACTAGCCATTGAGAGGAAAAAAGGGTTGGACGAAGGAGATGGATCAAAACTATATTGCGATTATGGGCACAAATACAGAGAAAAGAGAGGGAGGTAGAGAGGGAGGTGGTGGAGGGAAAAAGAATGACTGACGAGAAAATTCAAAGTAGAAAAATGGAGAAAGATAGAGAGAGAAAGAGAGGTAGAGATAGAGAGAGAGAGAGGGAGAGGGAGGGGAGGGAGGTGAAATAAAGGGATAAACTACTATCTGGACAAAGAATCGTTTTCAATTCATAAAACAAACATAAGACTACGAATGGCGTGTAACTGATATAAGTATAAAGATATTTAATTAAGGGAAAATACAAATTATGGAATTTTTTAATATTTAATATATAAAACATATAAATCGTAGATAGATGTAGATTTGTAACACATGTGTTGTATTGTAAAACAGAATTGGAGAATATTAGAGAAGAAAATCAAATGAATAACAGCAAAAACAGAAGAAGCAGAAGATGAAGCTGAATGTTTGAAATGCGAATGTTGAGCAGTCTGTTCGTGTGAAAAATGTGAAAAATATTTGATATTTTATCTCTTTAAACCTTTGAAATGAATGATGATTCATTGATAAATAAGGAAGGAATGATCTATGTTTATTGAGAGGCAAAGAATGACAAATTCAAATCAAAAAAAGAAAAAGAAAAAAAATAAATAAAAGATTAAAACCTATTTTGAAAGCAATACAGAAAAACACCCAATTACTTTTTGATATGAAAAGTTTTCTCTTTTGAAATTTGTATGATTCATGATCAAACATACACATACATACGATTCACACCCACCCACACTCTTCTCCAAAGAAGGATAAATAGATAGTGACACTTTTCCAAACAAAATTATTCATTAACACCACATCGATAAAGAATACACAGTTACTCATTTGTAGTTTGTTAGATAGCAACAATCGAAGGAATGTGAATGTCTTTGAAAGAGAGAGAGAGAGACAGAGAGAGATGCGTCTAACTTCAGAGTTGTGCTCAAATTGTTCTCTTGTGGAAGACTTTCATAATATCTTGCCAAACACACAAACTTTTTTTTTCTATTTATTTTTATTTCAAAAAAAAAAATCGCAAAATCAACACAATCTGTCAGAACATCAATACCAAGCTGGCTGTTCCAGCAGTTCAAACCGAACTTTTTGAGAAAACAAATTTTTTTATAACAAAAATGTTGAAAAAAAGTGAGGGAAGAAGGAAATACTGGAAAATAGACAGAGAGAGAGAGAGAGAGAGAGAGAGAGAGAGAGAGAGAGAGAGAGAGAAGGGTAGAGAGAGGAAGGACAGATGATGTTGCTGTGAAACCGTTTCATTTGAGTGAAATAAAGAGAAAAATGAAATTTACTAGAAACCGTAACCAAACAAGCCCGCATATTTATAATTTTTGAGATTTTTCTAGAAAAAAATACAACAATAAAGCTTTAAAAGTTCATATTATTTATCGTCGAATACTACGTATTACGTATAATGACGAAGGTTGGAATTATAAAAAGTATTTTTAATTGTGCAATTGGCGAAGGAATCCGCATATAAGCAGTCTTGTCATTTCGGTCAAAATGTTTTATTTTCTGTTTTTATCAAATATGGCAGATGACATAAATTTATTTTCTTTATATTATTTTTTTCTTTTTTTTTTCTTTAAATTTATCAAAAAGAAATTATATGACGAAGAATAACTGACATTGTCTGTATACGACCGCTCAACTTACATTCAGCTTGCAATGAATGAAAAATGCACGAGCACTATCGCAACTTGAAAGCGCCCTTTTTTGGATCATCAATGTACAACACGAATTAGAGAATGTTTGAGATATTCACTTAGTTGGTTAGACTTTTGTCGTAACAGATCAGAGTTCCAAATGCTCACAATTTTCTCTAGATTGCTGTAACTAATTGAAGAGTTTGTTTCAGAATGTTTTCTCTCAATAAACTGAAAGATAAATGGGATCTACATGTTGTTGGATAAGAATACAACGAATTGTATATAAGAAGAAAGAGATAGCAGAGATGAGGAGAAAGCTTTGATTGATAAAACATTCAAAACTGCTCGTTTACAATCAAAAGTTCATTTGATACAAGTTGCAATTTGCATATCTCCTTCAATATATATTAAATATAAAATTAAATATGTATTTATTCTATTTAATTGTTTTATTTAGTTTTCACGAAATTTTTCACATTTTTTTTCTCTTACAAAAATTTAATTTTTATTTATTATTTCACGTGAGCATAACTTGCAATCGATAAAGGAACGAGAATGTCAGCTGTTAAGAAGAATATATGCCATTCAATCTTTCAACTTTAAGATACAGTTGGTTACTTCTTCAGATACTTTAAGCTTTAACTTACAGCTTAGGCTCACATTCAAATATATATATGAAGTTGAATGAATTTTTGTTTAAAAATCTCGTTTTTGTCGCTTTTTTCAGCTCGTTTCTGTCTCAAACACTCAACGATGTTGGCTTTCTTTAGTTTCTTTCGCTGACTTTCTTCAAATTACTTTTCCATTGTTTTTCCGTTCTTCACCCACAAAACTGTGTCTTCTCTTCGTCAAAAAAAAGATCTTTTTCCTCTTTAATTTTCATCATTTCTTTCATCGTCTACTTTTCCCATTTTCATTAATTGCTTTCAGAAAAGAAAAATGAAAATTGAAAATCCGAAAGATAAAATATTATTCTCTATAAGCGAGATTCTTCCACATCTATATTTGGCTGGCTATGGCTGTATAACAGAGTCTAAGGTAAACTTACGAATAAATCACGGGAGATACAACCTTAGTAACGTATGAGATATGAATAATGCGAGAATAGAAAAAGGAATGAATTTCAAATGCGTATTTGGACACCAAAACAAGATCACTTACCAAATATAGATGAAATTTGAGCTTTGTGAACTTTGAAAATTAATTTTTTATAGCTTCGTAACTTTGGAATAACTCATGCTGTCGACGCAACGAACTTGTCAAATAAACAAATCCCTGCCATCGAATATCTCAAAGTCAACGTAGACGATGACGTCATCTCAAAAATTTCAAACCACTTTGAAGATGTTTGTAACTTCATAGACAAAGCGAAAAGCCAGGTAATTCAGTTTAATAATCAAAGACAACAGATGAGAAAAGACTTAACTGAATATTATATTGCTGAATTAAGTGTGAAAGAAAGGAAGAAGCTCCATTTGAGGAGAAAAAAAGTTTTGAATGCCTATTTAAGGGAGGAAAAGTGATTGTGTTTTGTGCTGCTGGAGTTAGTCGTAGTGCTACCCTCGTCCTCATCTATTTACTTCAATGTGAAGGCAAAACACTTAAAGATGCTTACTATATGGTCAATCAGGTATTTCAATATAAATATTTCATTCAAATCAATTTGTCCTGTTTGTTAATTCGATCAGGTCGTTACTGTTCTTTCAATTCATTCTCGCTAAACGTTTCTCGCTCTTCATCAAACTTTCGTTTGTGTCTGTTGAGAAATCAAGGATTCTTATGAGAATTCATGAAAAATGATTTATCAAATTTCATTTTCTTTTCCGTTTTTTGCAGGTTCGACCCATCATTTCGCCTAATTTGGGATTCTGGAGACAGATGATTGAATTTGAGAAAGAGAAGAAAGGCGAATCAACTGTTACTTTACTTTCTGGACGAACAGCTCGACCCGTACCGGATGTTTATCTGCATCGAGCTCTTAATTATAACACACAGAAAGCATGATTAATTAATATAAAAATATACAAATGTTGTAAATATTTTTCTGCTTCTTTCACATGAAATTTGTATGGAAAAGTCGAAAAGCTCAATATTTTGGAGCTTAAACAAAGTTTTTTTTATTCTTTTCTTGATTCTTCTTGCACATTATTTGTTTAGAGTTCACGACATTCGAAACAGATGACTGTAAAAAGCACGAAAAGTAGAAGAAGAAGAAGGGGAAGAGGAAGGGGGAGAGCAGAAGATGGAGAAAATGGTCTTCACAGCTATAAACAGGAAGAAAGTGAAGATGATAGAAAGTTACAAAGAATAAAACAGATAACAGTGAGATATCAAGAGAAGCAGAGATTGAAGACGAGGAAACATGACAGAAACAGACGAAAAAGCTTACAATCCCCCCCCCTTCCCCTCCATCAGCTTTTTTCAATGTAGAATGGCTTATGCGAAATCAAAAATAAATATTTGTGTTGAAACAGTCAGTTTGCCGTTTAAGACAATGCAAATGTGGTAAAGATCATCCGAGAATCTGAACAATTAATCATACTTTTCTTGTAAAAAAAAAGATGATAAATCATTATCGTTTTCGTCATCAAATAATCTGATCATTGGGAGTTTGCATACTATTCATACGATTTGCAAAGAAGGCGTGTAGTCAGCTTTTCAACATTCATAACTTTCCATTCCATATGCTTGAAATGATGAATCAATTGTTTGAGAATACAAAAATAATTACTTTTTGTATTTTATGTACAAATAAGGTAATAGATTGGATCATTCAACTATCACTCTTTTCCAAAATTTCTGTAGTTCGCCCTCATTTATGCGTAGCGTTACGCGTCGCGTTTTCTGTGTGACAGTATTAAAAATGATTTTTATGTCTCTGTTTCTCTTCCTCTGAAGAGAAAGAAATAGAAAGATAGAAGAGACTGAAGAGAAATTAAAAGTATATGAGAGAGTGGTAAGAGAGATAAAGATAGATAGAGAGACAATCAGAAAACATGATTCTAAACCTGACACATTGTTCTTTTGATAAGCATATGCATGTTGTACGTGCTTTCAATGTACTTCCGTAATTGTCTCAATTCCTAATGATTTATCAAGTTTGCTTCCTATCTCTTATACTCTCTCTATCTTTCTATCATCTTCCTCTGTCACTCTCTCTGTCTCTCTTCCTATCTTGTATGCTCAATTCGTAAATGACACCTTTGTCATGCTCTTTTTATGATGAAAACTTGTTCATTTTTTTTTCTTTGTGTGTGTATGTGTATCTACCAAAATTCCATGAAAATTTTCCTCTTCATATTTACATTTCATTTATTAAAACTATTAAAATATATAATTAATATATTAACTTATTAATAATGAATAGATTGATATATATATATATACAATATATATCTATGAGAAATGGAAAAATAATAGAAAATCGTAATGATCTGAAGATGAAAGATTCGGACGACTTGTCTCTCGTCGCCTTCATTTTCGCGCACACGTTCGTTGCCCCAAATTCCTTGAGTTTTGCATGTCGTCGTCTGTCGTTTTTCTTTTTCTTTTCATTTTTTTTCTCTTCTCTTCCATCAGTTTTGATGATTCATTTCGTTTATTTCCTGTCTGTTCATAACATTTATGAAAAGTCGCTTTTAAAACTTTTTTTTTCTTTTTTGTTCACATTTTTCAAAAATAGTCTCTTCTTGTCCATTTTGATATGAAGAACGATTCAAGTTTTCATCAACTTCTGTACTATTTATCGTTTTGTAATATCTTTTTTAAAGAAAAAAAATGTTAAAAAGAGGAACGATTAGCATTGGTTGAATGAGACTGCCCCTCTCTATCACGAATCCTTTCTTTCTTCTTTTTTTTTTTATTTTTTTTCTCCTTTTCCGATAGAAACACGCATACAGTTCCAAAACATTTCAACTTTTTGAATTTAAGGTTTTAATAATTGTATGAAGAAAATCAATTTCATCCTGTTTTTCAATTGATAACAGCCAACATCACGTTCTTTTTCATCTTTTCCTCTTTCCTTTTTTTCTTTTTAACTTCTTTAATTTATTGTGGGAACAGTCGTTTATGTCGTCTTCTCTCGTCTCCCACCCCTCTCTCTTCCTTTTCACCATTTCTTAAACATTTTTTAAAGTTTGTCATGTTTGATAATTTGCTTATTTATTTTTTCTCCATTTATAGACATCAGCTGATGAAGAATCGGCGAAGATTTCGAGATCAGAATTATGAAAAAATCAGACAAAGTTGTTTAAAAACAGAACACCCGTTCGTCGATACAACCTTTCCGCCTAATAACACAAGTTTGTTCTTGGAGCAAGGCAGAAGCTCAGATATTGAATGGAAAAGACCAAAAGTATCTTATAATATCTTTATTAATATTTTGACCGTGTTGTTTAAAGGATTTACATGATGATCCTCATCTATTCGTTGAAGGAGCATCTGCTAATGACGTCACACAAGGAATACTTGGTAACTGTTGGTTCGTTTCTGCTTGTTCAGCTCTAACCCACAATCAGGATTTGCTTGATATGGTAAACAATTTGTTGTTGTCTTTCATTTTCATTTGGACATATAGTTTTATATCAAGTATTTTAAGGTTATCCCAAATGCCGAAGATCAAGAATGGTCGGCTGATAAAGGATACGCCGGAATATTCCGGTTTCGATTTTGGAGATTCGGCGAATGGGTTGAAGTTGTTATTGATGATTTACTGCCAACTAGGTATATTTCTGTGATAAGTACGAGCCAGTCATTGCTTAATCGTATTCTGCAGAAATGGAAAACTCCTTTTTGCTCGCTCAAAAACTCCGAATGAATTCTGGTCAGCATTGTTAGAGAAAGCTTTTGCCAAGTTATCCCTGAATCAAAAAGAGTTTTGATCAGTGTTCTGTTCTAGATTGTACGGGTGTTATGAGAATCTTGTCGGAGGACATTTATCGGATGCTTTACAGGATGTTTCCGGAGGAGTTGCTCAGACGATAAACGTCGGAAAATATTTGAAATCGGTGAGAATCGTAAACACAAATTGAACTGACATATTTGATCGAGATAATTTACTTTGATAAAACTTTTATATTTTAGGATCAAACAAGGTTGGCGCTCGAGTTGTTCAGCCATTTGAGCGAATCATTTAATAGTAGAGCATTGATTGTGGCTGCCATTGCTGTAAGCAATTTTGAAGTTTTGATTTTAATGAAATCTTATAGTAAATCATTAAAGGCAAAAACGAAAGAAGAAATTGAACAAACACTTGATTGTGGATTAGTGAAAGGACATGCGTATGCGGTAACAGCCATACGATCAGTTGAATTGGCCAATAAAACGTCAAATTCTATTACGTATGTCCTTTTTTATTTTTCTTCCTTTTACACCTCAACCTTTCTTCATTTATTTTTACGTCATACTCCCCCTCCAACTCTTTCTCCCCCACGCAAACAGGAAATGAGTTCCGGAAGATGGGGAGTTGAGGTTATCTCTTGTGATCTTAATATATCATTACTATCACTCTTGATTCAATTTTATCGTTTAGAAATTGTTTATTTGGAAGCAATGATTGTCAAAAATTGATTCGATTACAAAATCCTTGGGGAGAAAAGGAATGGAATGGCTCTTGGAGTGACAATAGTCCTGAATGGGAACAGGTTTTTTTTAGTTCTAAGAAAACATTGTTAATTTCTTTTATTTTTTATCAAGGTTGGAGAGAAAGAGAAAGCTTCCCTTGGAATAACTGTTGATGAAGATGGAGAATTTTGGTTTATTTTTCTCTCTCTAAAATATACAATTTCCTATTACAGGATGTCATGGGAATCGTTCATCCAATATTTCACTGATATATCTGTATGTCAATTAATGAATACTGGCCTGTTTTCTATGTCAAAAATGTTTTATTTGTGGCTTTCACGCGTTTTGTTTACAAAATGATATTTCAGTTATCACGAAGAAATTCTTGTAAGTGAATGGACAACTAATGGAGTGAAGAGTGGGGCTCCGAATGACTTAGCAGGGGGGTGCCTTAACTTCTCAGCTACATTTTGTAATAATCCACAGGTTAGACTTATACACAACTTCCTTTCTACTATCAGTTTGTATTCTTTAGTATCTTTTCCATGTTTCTGAACCAGAATCAGACATCATGTTCGCTTTGACTCAAAGGGATCAGAGTGAAGGAGAGAAGAGACGAGACCCATATGTTACTATAGGAATGCACGTGATGAGAGTAGAATCTAACCGAAAGCATCGCCTTCACCAGGTAATGTATTCAATGTAATTTCCTTCACATGTTCTCTGTTAAAGCCGATGGTTGCTGTCGGGACCTCAGATTATGCAAATGCCAGATCAGCGTTTCTCGAGTTACGAGATTTGCCAGTCGGAAAGTAAGCTCTTATCCGATATCAAATGAAAATAGAATTGTTTGAGTTATGTCGTTCTGCCCACAACATTTGCTCCTCGAGAGCAAGCACAGTTTATGTTAAGAATTTATGCAGATCACCGAATTAATGTAAAAACACTTAAAAAGGTATCTGAGAACATATACGGTTGTCATAATACAAACTTCAAGCATTCGCCGAGCTTTGGAATATGTGGATGTAAAAATGCGACCTCAGTGATTCGCATTAAAATTCATGATTTTGAATGTTCTTCAGGTAATACAAAATCTAAGAGAATGCCGAGATATTTAGGATACTAATTTCAGTTTTAAACATATATTGTATTTTAAAAAATAAAAAATCGTTGGTTCGAACAGCTACTATCAAGCAGTCTTCTCATCCAAAGTTTGAAG